CAAATCGGTCTAGGTACTGTTCAATATTCTCAGCCTTCGGGTCGAAAACTGGCATAGGAAAGTTCATCGCTTGAGCTGAGCTACTCTGCGTTGATGCACCACCAACCTCAAGTGTTGGAGATCTGGGTCTATTACCCTCTCTCTGTGCCTGAAGTTCCAATTCTCTTAACCTCACCTCCTGTTCCAATCTCATTCTTTCTGCCTCCCTCTCAGACTCAAGTCGGAGTCTGTCAGATTCCATTCTGAGTCGCTCGGTTTCCTGTAACCTCTCAGATTCTTTCCGGAGTCGTTCGGTTTCCTGCACCCTCTCAGATTCTATCCGGAGTCGTTCGGTTTCCTGCTCTCTCTCAGATTCTATTCTGAGCTTCTCTGCCTCACAGGCTTCTATCCTCATCTCATGTTCCGTGGTTTTGATCCACTCGGTCATTTCCTTACCCTCCAATCCCATCTGGACAGCCATGTCCTTCAATTCCTGTATAGAAAATCTTGACTGCGACATGCTGTCTTGTCAGTCTAGCAGTCCACAAACAAAATATATTGTCACCAACAATGTAAATATAATCAACAATAGATTATTTTATGACCACCCACCAAGGTTGTACCTAACCCAATATACTGGAAACACAACAAAACACCACAACTTGATCACAAATCACTTCTAAGAGCACATTCTAAGAACTGACCCAGAGTGGTCACAACTGTGTTAACAAAATACAAACACTGAACAACCTCCTGGCCAAGATCACCAGCAACTTTAAAGATTGAACAGAGTATACAAACAATCCCACGACGAGACCACAGATTTTTGAGGATGTGTGTTCTGTCACATATCGCTTCTGTCGCGTGCCTGATTTAAGGATTTCTCCTTAAGAACCAACAGCACTCTGAAATAATTATGTAGAGTCGTTGGCTCGTATTGGTCTAAGGGATGCCCCGTGGCCAATATACGCCAATATATAGGAGTAGGGCAACTCAAGTTTTGGCACTACAAAATATATAATATTCCTAGGCACACTTGGTGGACACCCCCACTACTATAAAAAAAAAATAGCTGCCAGCTTATGATAGCATACTATCATAACCATGTTAACACAGATAAATATCATTAATTAAACATACATGTATTTTAGACATCTAAGAACAATGAATGAGTGACACTCCAGTCAATAGTAAAACTTTAGAAATACTGTAATAAGTGTAACACATACATTATATAAGACTCAGCAAAGAACTTCAAGAACCCAGAGTGATATGAAGGACCAAAACTTCAACTAGATCTGACTGCACGTGTATGAATGTTCCAGAGTCTGCCTACATCATCCTTATGATGAATGTGAACATTTAATAGTGAAGCCTGGCAATAAACCCATGATCGCCCACATTTATCTGAATCCCTGGTTTCTTGAACTGGCCGGATGTTCAGTCACTCTGTTGTTATGTTCAAGACAGTCCCACACTAGACACTCGAACACTGGAGATACACCCAAGCTCCTGGAGAGGATCTCAGGTACCAAGTCAAACACTTGAGGCACAAACAAACTGCCGGATAATTGATGGTGAAGGTACAACACCCATAATGTTGTCTGTATACCAACTGGAGGATTTCATTACTTGATGACCACAGTTAGGTTCACCATCTGATGCCCACCACTGGCTTAGACATAGGTGACTTCCTTGTAGGTGGTTTTGTGGACTGCTGATTCACTGCCTGGCCTCCAAGGAGATATCATCCCAAGCTTAGGAAATGTCCTAGACACCAAAGGCAGCCTCCTCAAAGCACAGTTAAGAACATCTGTTCTTCTAGGCAGTCAGGCAGAAAATCCCCGCTTCAAACTACGCTTAGCGTCACTAGGAAAGAAGTTACATGTATTCATGAACAAGGAGTAAACTGGTTTACAGGAATTTCTAAATAAAATACCAGAAATCGCGAACCTACAGTTGCAAGTTTGAAAATGAAGATATATCAAAGCAACTAGAAGGTCTAGAAATGTATATTTTACCAGATAAAGGTATAGATCAATATAAGGGACTATATACCTTTCCGGACGGGTCTAAGTTTGAAATTTTACTGAGCGCGAGGGATATCAAGTCCCGACTCGTCAACTGTGTATGGTTGCTGCTCATCTCACGACGCCGTATGTGATTAAAATTGATCGCGTGGGCAACTGAAGATCTATTGGTGACTTCTGCTACCATCAATGATGAACTGCATTTCTAATGTCGGACTGTTTGTGTTAGCATTTCAGATAGCTACCATATGCTTTAATGCGAGTGTATGCTAGATATGCTGAGACAGCAGTCTGTCAATCTTTCCACAAGGGACTGTGATAAACATTCTGTGTTTTCCGTTGGCACGGGAGCGGAGCAAAAATAGGGTGACCCGTTTGCTATGAAGCTGAAACTAGGACTACCAGACTACCAGACCAGACCAGGACTGTCTAGCTACTCCCCAAATGCAGTCAATCAAAAACCCGACATCACAGACAGCAAAGAAGCCAGGTCGCCACCCGAGGAAGCACTTGAGACGCCCCACGCAGAAAAAGCCAGCACCAGACCCACAGGAGTCCTACCCACCCATTTCAGATCGACCCAGGCAAAATGGAGAGTCCTTTTCAGGACTGTCAAATCCATTCTCACACTGCAGAAGACAGCCAAACAAAAAGCCGCCGATATCCGCACAGCCAGACCACACTGAAATGTTAAAGCAAAGAAGCAAAAACTCAGGCGAAATTCTTTTCGCCACAAAGAAACTGAATTCAAGCTAAGATAGCAAAGAAACCATCCCAATATAGCAGATTTTCGGGCGGCTCAAAGAGGACTAGGCTTGTAGTTTTTGTTTTCAATTTAACGCTTAACGTTTTACAGTAACCTTGCTTTATTTAAATACCACCAGAAATATTATTGTTTTATCTTCTGTTTTCAGGATAAAATGAATCATGCTTGGACCCAGTTTGAAAACCTCAAATTAGTGATAGAATCATTTAGTGATAAATTTGACGACCGAATTGCTAATCTGAGCCTCACCCCTGGACCTCAAGTGAGTTTGATGAATTTTCGGTATATATTAAAGTGTGTAAAGGGCGACGTCTTTGGCTTAGGCGTAGCAAGTCCGACTCGTAATTCTAACTTACCGGGATCAAAACCTACTGCTGGCTGCGTGGATTGTTATCATGGTATGGGTCGTCGCAGGTCGACCCAGCCTAAAAACTATATATATATATATATATATATATATATATATATATATATATATATATATATATATATATATATGTGTGTGTGTGTGTGTGTGTGTGTGTGTGTGTGTGTGTGTGTGTGTGTGCGTGCGTGCGTGCGTGTGTGTGGGTGTGTGGGTGGGTGTGTATAGTGCATACCAGTCTCTCACCAAGGTCCAAGCCACTAGTTTTGGTGCAATTAACATTTCTTAGCCAATATAACCGACACAAAGAAACCAGCTTACAATTATAACCTATACTGCTCGCTGTAGGTTGAACGTGGTCGAAATTTTGTCTTGTTTTTCACCATCCAATGGACAGTGAAGAGCTGGAGACAGTAGACTATTTTACCTATCTGGGTTCCACAGTGGATAACAAACTATCGCTGGACCAAAACTCAACACCAGGATAGGTAAGGCAGCAACAATAAGGAGTAGACTGACAAAAAGAGTTAGGGAGAACAGAAAGCCCACAACTATTACAAAAACTTTTGTCTGTCAGGCTTGTATTCTCAGCACTCTGCTTTATGGCAGTGAAACTTGGTCAACTTATTTGCACCAGGAGAGACTGCTAAATAGCTTTCGCATGCGATGCCTAAGAAGAATACTTGGTATAAAGTGGCAGGACAAAATCACAAACACTGAGGTACTGGAAAGAGAAGGTACCACAAAAGTCTTCTCAATGCTCATTATACGAAGGCTGTAGTGGCTCGATCGTACATGGAGAATGCAGGATGGCCGAGTCCCTAAGGACATCTTTTATGGTGAATTAAACACTTGTAGAAGATGTCGAGGCCGACCTCTACTACTGTATGAAGATGTGTGCAAGCGATACATGAAGGATACATGTATTGAGGTGGACTCATGGGAACAATATGCCATGGACCCTGTTGTGTGGAGAGGCCATATCAGAAAGGGAATTAGCGTGAAGGAAGAAATGATTGCAGAAAGGATGAGAGCTAAGCGTCTGAGAGGAAACGAATTAAACACAAATGTTGATAACAGTGGTCCTGAAATGCCATGCTATAGCTGTGAAAGACTTTTCTTGACACGTGCGGGTCTTGCTGTGAGTCTCATGTCTCCTCATAGCGCAGTATAACACTATGGTCTGGAAAGACGGAAAGATGCTAATCAATGTTCTTATTTTTCTTGGAATTCACCGACTGTAAACTCCAGTAGACAGTTTTGGTTGTTCGCCCACTTCTGTGTGGACTTTGGCTTTGTTCCAGACTTGAGTTTTGCGTGCACATCTGTTTTACAAATCTGGCTTTTTTTAACATGCAGACTGTTAGTTCCTGGCCCCTCAGACATATGCACACCGATATCGAGGGGAAAACATCCAATTAGTCAGCTGTTTCGACAATCTTGTTGGGGGGATGAGGTGGGAGGGGGCAGTAAGTCTAGTCTTTACATGAAAAAAAAAGAAATATGACATCAAACTGACACGAACAATTTTTTTTTTTTTTCCTTATATATGCTGTCTATTCGTCTCGAGGCAATGCGCTACTAGGTAGGTTATTGTACCCCACCAGGACATCACACAAGCGATAAACACCGGGTGACACAAAGTGCCACCATGCGGATGAGGATCACCCGTGGAGAGGTCGTGGAAACCTCGTTCAGCCGTCAGGCCATATTTCAGGACCGGTTATATTTACGGCCCCCGGCAAACGCCAGGGTGGGGCTTCAAAATAGCTAAATATTGCATCCCACAAGGGGATACCAGATTAAAACGCTACTACCTGATGCACCAATCTTCTTCTGTTGAATACTGACAAACGATGGCTGCGTATATCTTTGCGTCAGCTCTGTAGAGGTCTCTACACGTTTATAGACAACTTGCCGTCCTTTTTAGGATGACATTTTTCGTTATTTGAAGCCCTACTCTGGCTCTTGCCAGGGGACGCAATATAGCCCGGCCATAAATATGGCCTAAAGGCTGAACGCGGTTTCTGGGACCTCTCCACGGTGATCCTCACCCACATGGTGGCACATTGTGTCTTCGGGTGTTTATCGCTTGTGTGATGTCCTGGTGGGGTAGAAAGTCGGTCAGTCAGTAGAAGTCTCTAATTGAAGCAGTCGTTAGGTTACGGGCATGACTGGGGTTTCACGAGAAAACATCAGACTTTCATGCAGCATTTTAGAATCGTGATTATTTTTGTTTCTCACAGGGTGATCCAGGCACTGTTAATTATTCACTGTGTGTTAACGAGTCTGTCAGCGCGTCAGCTCCTGCTTCAGCAACAGTTAGAACCGAAACATCTCTGCTGCCCTCCATGACTGATATTCAGGTATATAGGGTTATGATTGAAGGCGCGTGTTTGAAGGTATTAATTTAGTTAAGTGTTAAGAACTAACATCACACCCAGGGAATGTTCCCATAAGCGCTCCGTTCTTATCTCCAGCAACCAGCGCAAAGTTCCTGTTTTTATAATACCGGTAGCAGTTTGAATAATTACATATACATCATGTTGGTATGAATGTTGAGTGTCGGTCAAATCCCTTGCTCACTTTCTGTTGTACTATTCTCTGCAAAACGTAAAGATCTGTTCGTAAAGATCAAAGGGCCTAGCTTGTCATGCAACCTAATGTTGCAGAACTGATCAGTCTTCTTACATCAGTGTTTCCCATCCTTCTTTTTTCGTGTGCCATATCCCACCTAAGTCTTTCTAGAATGCCTATGCCCCCCCCCCCCCCTTTTTGTACCTTAAATTCTGTTCGAGTTTATTTTCGAATTGCTCCCCTTAACCTTCAAACTGCCTCTGTTTACAATCAAATTGCCCCTCTGTGGGGCATGGGTCCCACGTTGAGAAACACTGGTTTACATTCTTGCTTGCCGACACACCTTCATGCTCCCGAGGAGAAGATCCAAAGGAAACTATGTACCAATGACCTGTTGAGCGATGTTTGCCATTCTTTACCAAGGATAACTATCTCCACCTTTCTCAGGAATACTTTCTGGCGATCTGAAATTGTCTTGGTTTTTCATGCCACTGGAAAGCTGCAGTAACAACTTTTATCTCCATTCTCAGACTAGATGTTGTGGTATACAACATCAAGCGCCAGATACTGTCATCCTTTCACTGTTGGTGGAATCCTACACAATTCTCCTGTCTCTCAACACAGTCACCTGTATAAATTAATTATCCCATTACCTGGATGTAAGGTGTCATCTAATACTTGCCAGTGAACACTGGCCAATCCCTGCACTTCTGGCCCAACATGGTTATAACCCTACTTGTCTGATTTTTGCTGAGACTTTGACCCACTCCACGTCATTTTTCTGTATTGTCTGAAGCATGCAAATATCTCTAATTGTGTCTTTTGTTCGCACCGTACAAGACATTCCTCTTATCAGCCTGTGGCCGTTAATTGTATCCAAAGCCTTCTTGAATTTTGTTTTCCTCTACTCTAAGATATGTCATAGCTTACATCACTTTAAACCTGTCTGAAATAGTCTGTAGTGCAAATATGTATTTCTTCATTCTGTATGTGGTTATGCTTCATTAGCTGACTTTGATACAACGAGCGGTCTCAGTTCGTAATCTATCATCCATGTGATCAAATGCTGGTATACCAAAAAACATTCTTTGCTCCGTGTCCATTGCTGCCATAATCTTCAACCCTTGTTGGCACTGACACATAATAGCTCCAAGAAATCTGTGGAAATCAGAAGAAATGAAGCCTGCTTAACATTTGGAATTTTTTTATTTAATACCACTCCACGGGCCAGAATCATATAGGACGTTCTAAACAATTACTAATAAACCAGCAAAATTTACTAACTTGTTCTGGCTTTACAGACCGGAATGGTTGAAACCTAAGGTTTAGAGTTCAAGGTTTCAAACAACGGATCAACATCATCACACCCATTAGTGCTCCGTTCTTCTTTTAACTCAAGTCTTGAGTCCAAAAAAGCTCAGCACGGCATGCTCTGTAGCACCGGCGATGATCTTGAAATATTTTAGGTAGATTTTTAACTCCAAATTTTGTCCGGGCAGTGCCGTTAGCTACCCTTTTCGATTTCCAACTGCCGGGGGATTTTTTTACGTGCGCAAAAATGCACACGGGCGTCTGATCTCACTGCCAAGAGACCAGGGGGAATTAGACTAGAAGTCCACGTGAAAAAATCCCAGCCCTTACGGGGGATTGAACCCGGAACATCTAGCACTCGAGGCGGACACCATGACTCGAGACCACGCAGCCCTCTCTGAAACCTAAGGCAGAATCGCCGGTGTGGAGCGTATGGAAAGGACAACTTGCCGCGAAACAAGGCTTGAGAACAATATGCAACGACTGAATACATCACACGTCGAGAAAGCGTGTTTTAATTGTGCAGTATAGCAAAAAGTCTTTTCGCTGGAGCCACAAAGAGCGGAGGAAATTGAGGTAGACCTAAAACTGCAGGAGACGACGTGAAAGACAATAAATAATTTAGTGGATGACGTGGATAAATCTGATATTAGAAGGTTATCAAATTCAACAGAAGCAATGATTGGAAATATAAACCAATTGAAAGAAGAAAGATGGAATGAATTTATTCGTTTCTGTGATCCCACGATCTCCTCAGCTACTAATTAGCCGTTATTTTATTGGTTCATAAAAACTGGTTACCGCCTATGGTTGAGCTTGTGCTGGTATTTTTTTTATTTTATTTCGCTAAGATTTTTAGTCACAGTTTACCGTGTTTGATAACTTCTTTATATCATTCTTTAAAGTCATCCTTACTTACACTACTCGTTAAAATTACTGAACTTTTTTGTTGTTGACGTATTTCTTTTCTTTTACAGAACTATTTTGTCACTTTTGCTTACTGCACATACTCTGGGGCTACCGATGTTAATTTGGATTCCCTTAAAGACAACACAACACAGAGACAGAGATACCGGTGCAAATGTTGGGGCCAAGTGTCAGGAGTCAACCAGACCGTCTGCTCAGTCTTTGTATGGATGTGTCCACAAGAGTGGGTTTAAATCATGGCAACTGGAACGAACTCAGGCCCAGCTCCGCCCATCTTTTGCCATTGAAAAATAAAAAAATAAAAAATAAAAACTTGGACAGCTTCAACCTGCCTCGAGGGCTTGGCTTTATGTGTGTCCTCTCCACCCATCTACATACTAGGTCATCTTTTATTAATGCTTGGTTAGACTGGTCCGCGTTGCTCAAGATTACAGGGGTGTCCCGTGTATTACTGTGGATTGCACTCGCTCGTGGGACCTAGGTAAAGTGTGTGGGGGAAGGGGTTGGAGTTAGGGCTGGTTATACATGTTATGGGCTCGTTAAAGCACTCACATCCTGTAATATAAAGCATGAGTAGTCGCAGGTAGGAGCGTCGACCAAGCTGACGTCCCTGCCACTTACAGATGCATGACTCACAGGTAAAGACAGAGACTGAACGTCCAATTACAGTGTCCTGGCCGGACTCCGTCAATCATAAGTGTGTAGATGGGTGGAGCTGGGCCTGAGTTCGTTATGTGTACCAAACCATGTGATAACCACGGATATGACGACTCGATTGCGTGGACCGTTTGGTTACGACTAAATCTGCTTATTTATAGCGGAAATTACGCTGAATCTTGTGTACAATGCGTTATGGAAAGATTTCAAGTATTTATAAAATTGTGAGGACACTGTAGATAGTTTTTTTTTAAAGAAAAACGTTAAGAACACATTTGACAGCCGGGTCAGTGGATAGTGCGGACTGTCATCACAGCAATCGGGACAGGTCCGATCTTTTATTTTTCCCTAAGGCTCCATAAACATAAAATGACTGATGATTCTTATCATGTGTTGTATTATTCAAACGTCTTGCATGTCCCTTTCGTCAAATGGTAATTTCTTGCAGCTCTAGGTTGCATCCACAGATCCACCAGTCTAGACAGAATATGTGGTCATGCCTTTCACTATATTCATCTTCGTCTAAGTGCTGCGTTCGCTATATTCATCTCCATCTAAGTGCTGCGTTCGCTATATTCATTTTCGTCCAAGTGCCAAGTTTGCTATATTCATCTTCGTCTAAGTGCTGCATTTGCTATATTCATCTTCGTCTGAGTGCTGCACTCGCTTTATTCATCTTCGTTTAAGTGCTGCATTTGCTATATTCATCTTCGTCTGAGTGCTGCACTCGCTATATTCATCTTCGTCTGAGTGCTGCGTTCGCTATATTCATCTTCGTCTGAGTGCTGCGTTCGCTATATTCATCTTCGTCCAACTGCTGCGCTCACTAAATTCATCTTCCTCCAAGCGCTGGGTTCGCTATATTTATCTTCGTCTAAGTGCTGGGTTCCCTATATTTATCTTTGTCTAAGTGTTGGGTTCGCTATATTCGTCTTCGTCTAAGTGCTACGTTCGCTATATTCATCTTCGTCGAAGTGCTGCGTTCACTATATTCATCTTCATTTAAGTTCGCTATATTTATCTTCCTCGGAGTGCTGGGTTCACTATATTCATCTTCGTCTGAGTGCTGCGCATGGCTTTTGTTCAGTACCAGATCAGCCGTAGCAAACACAGGGTCTACAATATAATAATCTGCATGCTCACCGTGTCCAACACCTGCATGACCTGTCACAAAGATTAGGCCAGCCATTCATTAACTGTTCTGTATCATGGAGAAAGATCTATACAATAAAAAATGATTATAGTAAAACAGACAGAAAGGTGTCCAAGAAGACACAATGAACAAGGTCACACGGCAAGGACTAAACAGGTTTTTGTCTTTTCCTCCCAACATTCATTTACAAAAATTTTAATTTTTAAATCGTAGTGCGTGCAAATGGACCAGGTTCGATCGTCAGAAATGGTACGATTTTTCCTATCAGTACCAAGCAAGTGTAAATGTAGCCGTTTCTTTTCCTATAATTGATATATATTTGTTTAATTATTAATATTAATAATAATCAATTGTTGAGAAATTAGTAATAATTATCTGCAGCAAAAGGGTTACTGTAACGATAATGGTAGAGTGATATATTAAAGTTGTAGACACATTAAAGTGAAGACATTTGTTTTGTCTGTACTGGAATATTAAATGCATGCCTCTGAGAAAGAGTTCCGATTTAATCCATATTAGTGAAAGGATCCTACTGTCACCATGTACTCCAGTTTTTTCCCATTTAATCACATGACCAAAGAATGTAGATTGTTTTGAATGTAGACTGTTTCTTTTAGATGTGGGCAATAAGTTATGAGTTAAATTATCTTCACAGCACTCCGGACACATTCATAGGCGCTCAGATTCCTCTCTCAACATATTCATCAGTGTCACGCAGTTAATGATGCCACTCCAAATTCTCGTATTCTTAGCATTGATGTGGACACGTTGCTTCCCAAAATCTGACAATGTTTGCGTGATCTGGGCCGGCCATCAATTGATGCAGCACCTGCCAGTCTCAGCTATTTATTACCAACAACACCTGCATGCCCTGCGACGAATATGAAGGTAACTGTGTGTGTGTGCGCGCGCGCGCGCGCGCACACACACACGCGCGCGCTAGAGTTTTGCAAAGACTCAAACCACTGTGCGTAACCTGCCTGCTTGGAAAGCCAGATCATGCTCAAACAAATCTCTCGGCACATCATGATCGCGCATGCAAGTCAGAAAAGGCACACTTGATATCCAAGATATAATTTGCTATATACAGCTTTTAAAAATTCTAATGCTGCCATTGCTTGAGCTTACATTTTACTTCTTTTACACATCTTTGCATCTTGAGGTTAGTCCAAGTGCTCATTTGATGTTGAATTTTTAGAGGGCAATCTCTTCCTCTCTGCTATTCAAAGACCCTCTTCATCTACTACCGATCATTTCTAGTTTCATGAAACAAAACTGTAGCTGAAAACTACCAGTTGCACGTAGGTTGTCAACATGTCTACAAATCAATTGGTGTTCCTGGCATTACCATCTACTTGATAAAATTATTTCAACTGTACAAACTGAATATAAATCGGTTGAAGTCCTAACTTGGTTGTCCATCTATTCTTATTGCCCCCCCCCCCCAATCGTTCTCAGATCACCCTTTATGTTTTAATTGTTTCTAAAATTCTTCTAATAATTTTTCATGCTTCCCTTTTCATCAATTGCTTTAGTATGACAATTCCACACAAAACTATCACATACCTAAATTTTATAAAAAAAGTAATAATGTATTTTTTTTAAAAACAAATTTATTATGTTTACTATAAACATTATTCAACAATAAATATAAGAAACACTTTAAACATGTTTGTGAAATTCAACAATTTAGATTCAGAACAATTAAATGGACTATATACATAACTGGCGAAACCAAATTTTAAGAAAGTGAAACTATGCTAATAAATATGAAATAAACATGAACCTAATCATTTTTTAAATGTGATTTATAAAAGAAACATTCTTACGCTAAAGACCTAAGGATAGAACTAATGACAGAGTCAAAGACTTTCTCATGATAATGTTACCTATCCCCTCTTCACAGTGATGATGTACAAAATGTTACTAAAAAAATTGCAATATCAACTTCAAGCATAAATCACCTGAATGACTGAAATATGTAAAACAGCACACTCATGAAACAAAATTCGTTATCAATGAGCAATATGTATAGAAAAGAATACTTATGTCTCATCAAACAAAAGCGCATGAATGAGCAAATATGAAATATATACACACACACACACACACATCACTGAAAGCCATTTAAAAAATAAAACTAATCCACCTCCTCCATTCTAGAGGCATCTTCTTCATCTCCTTCTAACGGAGGCATTTCCTCTGTCAGTACTTCAGGAGCAGCATCTCCACAAGAACAATCATCATCCTCAATACCAAGCCCCAGCTTGATCATGCGGTGGATTCTGTTAGCGAAGGAAGTAGGATCATCTGTCGAGAAGCCAGAGGCCAGCAAGGATGTTTCAAACAGAAGCAGGACCAAATCTTTCACAGCTTTATCATTTTTGTCAGCGTCAGCCTTGGCTTTCAAAGTTTTAATGATAGGGTGGTCAGGGTTGATCTCCAGATGTTTCTTGGCAGCCATGTAGCCCATGGTGCTGGTGTCTCGCAGAGCCTGAGCTTTCATGATCCTTTCCATGTTTGCTGACCAGCCGTACTGTGATGTGACGATACAACACGGGGATGTGACTAGGCGGTTGGAGACTACAACCTGTCAACAAAAGAGATGAAGCAATATTAGTTTTATGTACATTATATAAAAGTAGCATAGCTAATGTACAACATATTTAATTCTTCTTCAGCATTCTGAGCCCTTGAGGTTCAATGCTGCAGATACCACCAGCCTCCATTCATCTCTCTGGTTGGCCTTCTTTTTCCAGTTGGCGACACCCAAGTTTGCAGGTCCTTCTGGACATCATCTTTCCATCATCTTCTTGGTCTGCCTCGTAGACTATGACCGTTCATCTCCATTGTGTATACAGTTTTTACTTCTGACATCTGACATTCTCTCAATATGCATCAGCCATTTCAACCTATGAGCTCACATGATACCAATGATCAGTGGCATTTAAACAGATTATTCATTTCATTGTCGCTTCTCACTCTCCATTCCCTGTTGTTTTGATGGGTCCAAAGACTCCTTGTAAAACTTGTTTTCAAAAAGCTGTAATAACCTTTCATCTCAGCATTTGGTAGCTCAGAAAAAATGGCTATCCTCCAAATAACGGGCACAAAAGATGGCGGCCGCAAAAACACCCTAACAGAGCCTCAGTCATGTGTCAACTGCGCACTTCCTGCGACTATTTGCATTTTCCTGCGACTACCGCCACCGCCAAGAGCGCCGCTCACGCGGCGGGGATTGGCCCATCTCCGCCATCTTTTTGTGCCCGTTATTCGGAGGATAACACAAAAACAAGACAAACAAAACCATACCTAAAACAATCTCAAAAGAGTGGATAGATCCAACAACTATTTGCCATTGCCCATTGTGTTCATTTTTGTGACAATTTAAATAAAGATGACCTTGCCATGAATGATTAACGCAAACTAGATCAGATGAGCGAAAGACGGCAGATGGATGGTCAAAACTTGTCCTGACTAACTGCATCAGATTACTACCAATTCTTGAGGACTTAATAATAATATGGACAGAATTTAGGCATTTTTTACGACAGAAAGTTGAAGGGGAAGAGACAAGTGGAATTAACTATACAGTATAGAAGAATATTGCGTCAGAAACAATATGCAGTACTTAAAACAATAGACTGACCACAAATACAGCACAATATGGACCATTAACATCACACACTTAGACATGTGGGCACTTAAGCGGGTTGCATTCAACTCCAAAAAAGATCATTCCATTATCCAAAACTTAATGTTGGTACACCAACCATTAACCAAGACAAAGCAAAGTAGGAGGGAGGATACCAAGTGAGAAGAGCCCTAAAATTGTAAAATCATGCGTTGATTTTAGACAAAACAGTTATTTAACAAGAAGGAACCAGCAAAACTCCCGTCACAGTGCCACTGCAGCAAGCTCACTGTACTAAAAGCTAAAGCAAAGCATGAACTAACAACACAAGAGAATAAAAACGCATCACCTGACAATGGATAAATAAATGAATAAGAAAACATTTTCAGATATGTGTATAGTAGGTTACCATCTGAGCTTACCTTCTCTACTTTTTTGTCCAGAATCTCCTTCATGACCTTGCACAAGCCTTCATATTGTGCTTTGGCCTCCTCCCATCTCTTCTTCTCGTCCTCATCCTCTGGCAGTTGGAGGCCCTCTTTTGTGACACAAACCAGGTTCTTGCCATCATATTCTTTCAACTGTTGTACTGAGTATTCATCAATTGGATCAATCATGTAGATGACTTCATAGCCTCGCTTCTTCACCCTTTCCACAAATGCAGAATTCTGAACGGCCTCTCTGTTCTCACCTGAAGATAGAACAATATTAAATTAAGGATGTCTGCACATGATGGATACTTGCACACATTCTCCTACAACCTCCAATAATTACACTTAGAATGTATCAACACTGCTTCATGAAATGTCACAAGCCCAGAATATCCATGCATTGCTTCATTTTAGTATAACATGTAAGAATGGTTTGCTAGTATCACTGAAGACCGGCCGCGTTTGCGCAGTTGATAGGAGACTTGCTTTCAAATCTAGCCCACGGCCAGTGTTCAAAACCGGGCGGTTCCTGGGGTTCACCCAGCCTCTAGGTAATGGTACCAGAGTTAACACTCTGGGGTAAATGGAGGAACACAGGTGGACAGTTTCTTATCAGCTGTCTGTACTAGTGGTAGAGCACTTACAGTTTAATGACGCTGGTTCACATCTCCTGACTTTACTGTTACCTTCCTATGTAAACAGCTCATCAGACGCATGATGCTGCTCACTTTTATAGACAATAGGCCCGCCAATGGGTGAAGCAGCCAATGGGTGAAGCAGCCAATGGGTGAAGCAGCCACCTTTACCTCAAGCTATTACATCCCAGTATCCATTTTGGGCCAGGTAACCCTGGGAGGCGAGGGCAATTTTTCCTCAATCTGCTTGCTTGCTGCAGATTCAAACCCAAGATCTCACCAACTAGGTTAACATTTAGCCCACACCTTTTTAACATGCATTTCTTGATTCTTTTAATACTACAGTTGTAACTGTATACACTAGGAAGAAGTTTAGCAAGTAATAAACAGCTGGATTTCAAAAGTTTAAAATTATATGTGGGACCAAGGTTTAAACAAAACAAAATGGTATAAAATGGGCAGTGTGTTAATTTGACAGCTGCAAGGAAGTTTTGGAAAAGTATACAAGTTAGCTAACATTGAACAAATACAAGCTGGTACTGAATGAGATGGGAGCCAGCCAGTACAGTCTAGCAGCTGCCCATTTCATGCAAACCCAAATGTCCTGATGGAACCAGACTTTTATTAAAGAACATAGTCGACCCACCTTAAATGGGTACCAGACAGACATAGTCCTGGAAAGTAAAAGTGGCCAGCACTGCTAAAAGAAAATACAGGTCTGGCCATACATGCTCAAAACACCTGAATGTGTGGAAAGAGTCCTTCGCTTACCGAACAGGTAAGGCCTTTGGTATAAAAAAATACACCCTAAAAGTACCTACCTGTAATGTAGTAAATGTCTTTCTGGTTCTCCTTCATTCTGGAGACATAGTCCTTCAGTGATGTCATCTCATCCCCGGACTGGGAAGTGTAGTACCTCAAAAATTCTGCCAGTTTCTTCCTGTTCGTGCTGTCTTCATGGATGCCAAGCTGCAGAAACATAGCAAGCACACAATGAATACACATGCAATATGATAATCATTAGTAAAGCAGCAAAACACCAGATTAACCACATAACATAATCTGAGTCTTAACTGGCATAAGAGCATCCGAAAACTACAATCTTGAACATAAATATCACCTATGACAGCTTTTCATGCCACATAAGCGTGTCAAGATTCTTCTTGCATTGTCTTCCTTTATTTTAGCATTCATTTTTCCCTTTTCTTTCCACAATAAAAATTACAAGCTCCCTCTGACCTTTGCGATTGTCTTTAACTGACCATCAATTATCTTAAAAATAATTTTTACACAAAAATTCCAACCACATGAAGCTTTCCTTTATAAAAAAAAAAAAAAAAAAAAAATAGAACCAACAAAATCTGTAATTTTCGAAATAATGCTAACTTTTGACAGCTCAAATGCACAGTAATATGAATAAGTAAAGGTAAGAGAAGAACTTCACTGCACAGGTTTTATCCCACATTGCTAGTTGCCTTCTGAGAGCATGGCAAAAAGCACGAACTCCCTAACTCCAGCTGCAGAGGGATCTCGGTAAAAATTGCACTTGTGAACTGAATGGCGCTGTCGTGAAATGAATCTGTGACCTTCGGAGCACGAGGAAAACAGCTTCGCCACTGAGACCCCCCAAACAGTAATATTCATGGAAGCCAAGAGCCACACCAACCAAATTAGTGTTAAACTAAACTAGGATTACCAGTGTCAAATACTGCAAGTCAAGTAAGCTGGTTGAAGATTATAGCCGATTACTCAATCTGCAAAATGAACATTTCAGTCAAAAGACTTAAAAAACAAGAATAAAGGGCTCTCATCATTAAGCTGAACAAAAGGCAACACCACTGTGCAGAAGAAAGAATATCATTCCTCTGTAAATTATAGAATCCAAAAGAATAAACAGCACTTTTTAATTTGAGGCAAGAAGCAACAAGGCATTAAAGTTATGGTCCTAAACTGTCAAAGCTGAAGAAAGATGACAGAATACAGGACAACACAAGGCAAAAAAATACAATAACGCCACAAAATCACCACAATGAGGGAAAGACTTTATCTACTCACCTTTATGTTCTTTGCAAACTGTTCATAGAACTTTTTGTAGTTTTCTTTATCTTCTGTGAGGTCTTCGATTAGTTCCAGACATTTCTTGACAAGGTTCTTCCTAATAACTTTGAGAATCTTGCTCTGCTGAAGCATTTCTCTGGAAATGTTTAGTGGCAGATCTTCAGAGTCAACAACACCCTTCACAAAGTTCAAATACTCTGGAATCAAGTCCTCACAATTGTCCATGATAAATACTCTGCGAACATACAATTTGATATTGTTTTTCTTCTTCTTGTTCTCAAACATGTCAAATGGTGCCCTCTTTGGAATGAAAAGAAGGGCTCTGAACTCTAACTGCCCTTCAACAGAGAAGTGTTTAACAGCCAGATGATCTTCCCAGTCATTGGTCAGAGACTTGTAAAATTCAGCATATTCTTCAGGAGTGATGTCATCTGGATTTCTTGTCCACAGTGGTTTGGTTTTGTTGAGTTCCTCTTCCTCGATGTATTTTTCCTTGATTTTCTTCTTCTTTTTCTTGTCTTTCTTTGAAGTGTCATCATCATCATCGTCATTTTCATCCAGATCTTCAACTTTTGGCTTGTCTTTATCTTCCTTCTCCTCCTCCTTCTTCTCTTCCTCTTCGTCATCAGAAACTTCCTTGTCCCGCTCCTTCTCTACCATAAGTTTGATTGGATAGCCAATAAACTGGCTGTGTTTCTTGATCACATCCTTGATCCTCCTCTCTTCCAGGTACTCTAGCTGATCTTCTTTCAGATACAAGGTGACCCTAGTACCACGTGACAGAGGAGCAGAAGTTGAAGGATAGACATAAAAGGTGCCGCCGGCAGCAGATTCCCATGTGTGCTGCTCATCGTCATTGTGCTTGGAATCCACAACCACACGATCTGCCACAAGATATGCTGAATAGAAACCTACACCAAACTGTCCAATCATGGAGATGTCAGCACCTGCCTGCAGGGCTTCCATGAAGGCTTTGGTGCCAGATTTGGCAATGGTGCCCAAGTTATTGACAAGGTCAGCCTTGGTCATTCCAATCCCCGTGTCTTCAATGGTGAGAGTCTTGTTCTCCTTGTCCGGAATGATTCTAATGTGCAGGTCTTTTCCTGTGTCCAGTTTGCTTGGGTCCGTGAGAGACTCATAGCGGATTTTGTCAAGAGCATCCGACGCGTTTGAAATCAACTCTCGGAGGAAGATCTCCTTGTTGCTGTAGAAGGTATTGATGATAAGACTCATCAACTGTGCAATCTCAGCCTGGAATGCAAAGGTCTCCTTCTCTCCCTCCATTGGCTGATCGACTGTGTTGATCTCAGGCATCTGCAACAAACAAAAAATAAAACATTTCTGTCAATGATGTCATAATAAAAAAGCAACCCGAGTTTAGTTTACCGAGCTCAAATGTGCATGGATACGAAATACACAAGGCAGGGAAACTGGCAAGGGACAAGTGGTGTACATGCCCGCTTTGATGATCAACATTCTGCAAAAGGCCTGTTAAAAAAAAATGTAAAGCATTCCTCTGCCTGCATACACAGACAAATAAGATTCAAAAGTAGTTAATTTACATCTACCTCTACTAAACATGGCACTAATGGCTCCAAGATGGAGTGGCGGAGTGGGGTGCGGCTAAACACGCGAGAATTAGATCAGCACAAGCAGGCACAACAGGTACACCAAATGTATGAGAAGTCTTAAACCAGCATAGGTCTGGCACTATTAATCACAGCACAATGCTGAAAATGCAGAGTGTGAAAAGCGGGGAAGGGGGATATTGTGAGCACAAATGAACATGTTTGGTGGTAACCTAACTCTTAACTCTGTGGCCTTAATTATCAACAAATAACAACAATTGTAACCTTAAATATGCTGATGATAGTTACTTGCACAGAGTGAGAAGGATCTTTATGACCGAGTGCCACATGTTTACTTTTAGGCATCACAGCATTCTGGACAATCCTGCGCTAAACAACCGAGGAAGGGAAAGGAGAGGTAAATACAGAAGAAACAGGTCTACTCCTGCAAACAATACGCAGAACAACAGGTCTACTTCCCCAGATACCTCAAAGTTAAAAAAAAAAAATGAGAGCTGCAGAAAGAAACAAGGCAAGCCAAGTTAAAGGTTCAAGCCGATAGGATTGGCTTCCTTGTAAAAGGTTTGATCTCACAGGCTCAGTCCTATGCACAATACAATGGCAAAAGATGGAGACAAAATGAAACACTTCTGCAACATTTCCAAAAAAAAAAAAAAAAAAAAAAAAAATATCAATTTTTTTTTTATGCCTATGGCGCACGAAGCATTCTTCATAAACACATTCCAGGCCATGGCATGTAAATGGAGCATCAGATGTCTTTCCAGAAGATTCTGGAATTTATGGAACCTTCTTTTTTTACCAGAGATGCATTAGGAACAAGGGCACATTGGCGATGGGCAGCGATGTTGGTAAGAGGAACTACTGCTGCTGCTTCTGGCAATGAAGCCTGTTTTTTTTTTTTTTTTTCAAGTAATGACCATTGCATGCAAAACACCTGATTGGAATGAGTTTTCTACCTGTGGATCTCTGTTGGGGGAGGGGAGGGTGGAGAACAGACCTACTTCCACCCTAAAAAAGTATGATGTAAAAAGTCTGATCAGGGGTTGTATCCTTTGAAGCCTGAGAGACAAAGAAACCAACAGTCTGCTCATAAATAAACCAGATCTACAAAATGGATGTGCATGCAAAATGCACCTTCTGGAACCAGTCAAAAGCCCAGAAGTGGACGGCCAACCATAACATTACAAGCACATTCTGTCTTCACACGTTCCAGGCTAGGACACATGAATGTGGTGACCATTTCCTTTTCAGAAAATTCTGAAATTATCTAGAACCAATTTTTGGGCTGACCTCAGAACTGCACTGGGGTGGGGGGGGGGGGGGGGGGGGGGGGGGGGATCTGCTTTTGGTGAATTAACATAAAAACACCATCTCTACATCAAGAATTATCTGGAATCACCCTACACCATCTCTACATCAAGAATTATCTGGAATCACCCTACACCGTCTCTACATCAAGTATTATCTGGAATCACCCTAACAACTATGTGGTAAGAGAAGACTAAACCGTGGAGTTTCCTTTAAGTACAGCTGCCTGAGAGGAAGAGATCTGAGCAAGAGGAGAGGAACAAACAGTATACTTACAAATAAGTCAGATCTGTAAAAGTATGTGCCCCTAAAACTCGACTTCTAGAACCAGACTAAAAGTCCACAAGTAGTGGGTGGAACAACCAAAGTGGGCGAACAACCAGAAGCGAGCCAACAACAACAAGAAGTGGGCGAACAACCAGAACTTTCCATCAGAATTTAAAACGGCTGGTGAACTCAAAGAACAAGAACAAAAGAAGAAGAATCAGTTAACCTAACATACTACACAACTAGAGGAATTATTCACTTCGTGTTTAACATGAAATTACTACACACATTTATTTCATTACTTACTTATTTATTACTTCGCATTAGTTTTATTGTTTTATTTTTTTTTTTTTTAGTTTATCAATTTGACTGAGCCCACTCAAAACAAGCAAACTAATTAAGAAAAAACACTGACCACCACCACCTCATCACCTAACCTAACCAGTTGGTATCAACAGAAAACTTTCAGACTTTACAACCAGATGTGCTTGCTTACCTCGTCTGTTTAGCTTGAAGAACTTTGAAGTATAGCAAATAACGTTGCTTGTAGTTTGTTTCGCAGTGCGATTCGCAGTGGTTCGCTGTTTCTTTCTGATTAGCGCTTGCTTGACAACTGCTCAAATAGACGGCAACGGTTGGTATCACTCCGCGCTTCGAAACTTCGATAATTTTACTGACCTTTAAAATGTTAGCATAACGTAAACATTTTAACATCATTTAATAGACAATCTTCTATTTATTCGAAAAATACTTAATTATTTTAATTTTAATTATTATAAAATAAAGTAAAACTTGAAAACTCTGGAACTTTATTAGGAAGTAGAAGGAAGAAATTCTGTGCGGAGGATGCTAGATGTAGTTCTGGAGAGTTCTTGAAATCTCTAGAATTTCTCAGAAGCCCGACCTTGTCACAACTTCCGGTGGAAATTTTGTAGTTCGTTTCTAGCCAGGTCTAGAAGTTGTCAACATCATCATCATGTGGCGACAAAATGCGTGGTTGCAATTGAATTCATACAAAACATTTAAAAAATACGTGGCTTTTTAAAAAACACTTATTACAGTACTGTTTTCGAGGTCAAAATCTATCTATCTATCTATCTGTCTATCTATCTATCTATCTATCTATCTATCTATCTATCTATCTATCTATCTATCTATCTATCTATCTATCTATCATCTATCTATCTATCTATCTATCTGTCTGTCTGTCTGTCTGTCTGTCTGTCTGTCTGTCTGTCTGTCTGTCTGTCTGTCTGTCTGTCTGTCTGTCTGTCTGTCTGTCTGTCTGTCTGTCTGTCTGTCTGTCTGTCTGTCTGTCTGTCTTTCTGTCTGTCCGTCTGTCTGTCTGTCTGTCTATGCATGTGTAAGCGTGCGTGTGTGTGGGTGATCTGTATAAATGCATTTGTGCTTTGTGTCCACGGGTATGCGTGATTGTGTATGTGAGAGGGTGTACGTGTATGCCTGAGTGTGTATTATTATATACATGTATTGATGGGTGAGTGTGTATGTATGTTAATGCATGAGTATGTATGTATGTGTAAATGTATGTAGGTATGCTTTGGTGTATATGTTTTGGGGGTCGAACGACAATTTCACAGGGGTCGCCTTTAACCATTGAAAAACACAAATTAACTGAAGTTATGAAGTAGCAACGAAAAAAATGTTATGGCTGGGGGGGGGGGGGGGCTGTCACTCTACACGAGGACTACATTAAAGGGTAATAAATGGGAAAAGTAGAGACAAGACAAGGGTTTTTCTGTGCAGGATGCATGAAATATGATCAAAGCACTGGCGAAGGCTATGTGAATAATTGTGTTACACAACTACAACTGATTGCAACTATATATATACATACATACACACACACATACATACGTACGTACTTACATACATACATACACACACACACACACACACCCACCCACACCCACACACACAGACAGACAGACAGACAGACAGACAGACAGACAGACAGACAGACAGACAGACAGACAGACAGACAGACAGACAGACAGACAGACAGACAGACAGACAGACAGACAGACAGACATACAGACAGGCAGACAGACACACATACATACATTCCTACCTACATACATACATAACATACCTACATACATAACCTACCTACCTACCTACATACATACATACAACATACATACATACATACATACATACAGACATACATAATACATACATACATACATACACATACATACAGACAATACATACATACCATACATACATACATACAGACATACATACATACATACATACATACATACATACAATACATACATACAACATACAGACATACATACATACATACATACATACATACATACATACAGACATACATACATACATACATACATACAGACATAACATACATACATACATACAGACAGACATACCATACATACATACATTACATACATACATACATACATACATACATACAGACAGAAACAGACATACAGACATACATACATTACATACATACATACATACATACATACATACATACATTACATACATGCAAACAAAACAAACAAACAAAACAAACAAAACATACATACATACATTACATACATACAATACATACATACATACATACATACATACATACATACATACATACATACATACATACATACATACATACATACATACATAACTACATACATACATACATACATACATACATACATACACACACACACACAACACACACACACACACACACACACACACACACACACACACACACACACACATACATACATACATACATACATACATACATACATACATACATACATACATACATACATACATACAAAGTTACATACAGAAAACATTAAACATACATACATACATACATAACATACATACATACATACATACATACATACATACATACATACATACATACATACATACATACATACATACCTACCTACCTACCTACCTACCTACCTACCTACCTACCTACCTACATACATACATACAGACAGACAGACAGACAGACAGACAGACAGACAGACAGACAGACAGACAGACAGACAGACAGACAGACAGACAGACAGACAGACATTACTTTTGGCCAGGTATGTCAGCAGATATCATGCGTTATGTCAAATCCTGTCC